TATATATATATATATATATATATATATGTATATATGTTTATAATACATCGTTATATCATCGATCTTTTATCGTTATCTTACGAATAATTGATTTATTTTATGAAATGTCTAAGTAACATTTGTGTATTACGCAATTAATCGATCGATAAATGAAAAAACTGGTTTTATCAGTTAGTTTTTAAGGTTCGATATATCTTTATTATTCTATACATTTGGTTTTACATATTTGCTTTATATATTTAAAAAGATTACGATGTTTAAAATAAAATTGTATTTATATATGTACTTGTTCTTTTTAAAAATTATTTGTAATTTTTTTGTGGTTTTATAATATATATGTGGTTTAGAATTCTGAATAATTTACGTTGGAATTTGAGAGTATTTTCGTAATAAATATCGTTTATGTATTTGGATGAAATAGATATATTATTGTCGCGACCGTTAACGATATATGATGGGGATGAAGTAAGCGAGGAAGATAAAGATGGACAAATAAAGTTTTCATAGAATAGTTTACAGATGATATTTGTAACTTGTTTCTTTTTTTTTTTTCTTTTTTGTTTACACATCTGTTACGTAAGAGTTGAAGTTTTTTAATTTTAATAATTTAATAGTCGATCGAATATTTATAGGAGGTAACGTTTTCTATAGTTTACGAGGTTGCGAAATGGTGGTTGGCGTGTATGGGATAGTGTAATGTTTATAGAAAATGAAGCGGACGTTTATTTAAAAAGATGTAGGTGTCGAATCAGGTTAGGGTATGTGCAACTTAAAATATTACGATATGATTCTAAATATTAAAATTGAAATATTAGGATATAGCATCATTTTATAGTCATTATTATATATATATATACATATATATATATATATATATTCCTTTTACTTTTATATATAATTATTATTAAGAATTTATGATAAAGTGAGAATTCATTTTTTTTGTCTTGATGAGAATTTTATTTTATCGTTTTCTTTCGGATGTGTAATTTGGAAAAATAATTTCATAACTAAATTTTCTTTTTTGGAATTATTTCTTTGATGTAATTTCGATGTAATCGTAGAAGAGATAAAAGGGTATGTTATGACTAGTTTATATTAAAGGGGAAGTTTATTGTAACGAAATATTTTGAAAGTAAATTTTTTTTTTAACGAAGGGTTAGACTCGAGTCTTGTGTAATGAAATTTAATCGATGGAAATGAATCGAATGGATTTATGTTTTGTAAGAATTATTTGTAGCTATTAATGATATTTTCGAAAAAAAAAAAAATACGAAATTAAATGTTTTTTTTTTTATTTTTGCGTAAATGATTATAGTACGAAATGAAATGTTTAGTTGAGGAGTGCTTTGTTTGCTTTTTATGTTCGTATTGGATTTTATTCGAAAGATGTAGTTTGGATGTGGATGTAGTAGTAAAAGAATTTCTGGAGTGTGTAGTCGAATTATTTTATCGAATTAAATTATCGAACGTTTTGCTATTAAGAGTGAAAATTATTAATAATTAGAAAAGGAAAAGGAAAGGAAAGAGAATTTGGAATTTAAAAATTATAATTATTTACTTGGAATTAGTGGAGGAACTAGTAATCGTTTTTATTATTATTTAGATAGCTATTATTAATATTTTATTATTGATCGATTGATTTCATTATAAAGTAAATTTTTAATACGTTAGATGTATATTTATGATTT